ATAGCTAAATTGAACAAATGGAGATCTCTATATCCCAGCCCACCTTCCTCAATCCTTCTGCACATTTCCTCCCAAGAAACCCAATGCATCTTGTTTTCTTTGTCTTGCTGCGCCCACCAATATTGACAAACCATTTTGCTCATCTCATCACATAAAGATTTTGTCAAGTCAAAGCAGGACATAGCGTAGGAAGGAATTGTTTGCGCCACTGCTTTTGTCAAGGTTTCCTTGCCTGCTTTTGATAACAATTTCTCCTTCCACCCCTGAATGCGTTTCCATAGCCTTTCCTTTAGATATGCAAATAAGCTTGCCTTAGATCTCCCCATATAGGTTGGCAAACCCAAATACCTCGCATTCAAAGACTCCTGCGTGAGCTCCATAATTTGCATAAACTTTCTTTTATCCTGGGATTTTGTGTTCTTGCTAAATACGATGGATGATTTGTCCTTGTTAATTTTCTGCCCCGAGCATGTCTCATAAATTTGTAGCACTTGTCGCAAATGGGCTGTGTTCTCTTCATCTGGTTTCAGGAGAAGCAGCAACCAGCAAGTCATCAGCGAACAAAAGATGAGTGATGCTTGGGGCTCCAGCACATATAGTCACCCCTTGTATACTTCCTCTCTCCTCAGCGGCGTTGATCAAGCCAGAAAAACCTTCAGCACACAACAAGAAAAGGTATGGGGAAAGTGGGTCCCCCTGTCGTAGCCCCCGGGATGCTATAATTTGCTCTGTTAAACTCCCATTAACCTTTATACGGTATGTAACTGTTGAGATGCATTGCATAATTAGGCTGATCCATCTTTCATGGAACCCCATCTTTCTCATTATCTTTCCATGATCGACCATTCCACTCGATCGTATGCCTTGCTCATATCAAGCTTGAGCGCCACATAACCATCAACTCCACTCCTTTTATTCTGCATGAAATGATTCATCTCATAGGCAATGAGCACGTTGTAAGTAATCAGACTGGCACAAAAGCACTCTGATTTTGAGAGATAATCTCTGGCAATATAATCTTCAGGCGATTTGCAAGAACCATCGAAGCAATTTTGTATACCACGTTGCATAGGCTAATCGGAAGAAGGTCTTTGAGTTTTTTCGGTAATTGCACTTTAGGGATAAGCACCACCACTGTGTCATTCCATGAATCTGGCATCAGCCCCCCTCTCAGAAAATTCCTCACTTCTCTGATAACATCATCTCCTATTGTCTCCCAAAAGGATTTATAGAAAATAGCGGGCATCCCGTCATCACCTGGTGCCTTCAGGTTGCCAACGAGGTTTTCATTTTCGGAAATTAAAATTTATCGGGGGTCACAGATAAAGAGGATAAACATGATATATCGGAAATATCGGACCAAATTCAAATAAAATTCAATTTGAATTTAAGTAAATTTAAATAAATTTAAACAAAATTTGTACGAAAAAGATAGATATTTTCTTATCAGCACATACGGATAAAAAAGATATATCGGAAATATCAGGAGATTTCGGCCGAAAAAGAAAACCATGGTTGCCAATACTATCCAGTCCTAGTTTAATTTCTTCATCCGAAAACTCCTTCAACAATATATCATTCATCTCGGGCGTGACACGAGCATCAATACAACGCAGCAGCTCATCTGTGTCGCCACCTGCATGTGAAGTAAACAAGTCACGGTAAAAATCGGTCACCAGCCCCAACAAATCTCCATCCTCCTCCATTACACGCCCGTCATCCAAAACTATTCTCCGGATTCTGCTTCTACGCTTCCTCTCAATGGCATATTGGTGGAAAAAATTTGTGTTTCTATCCCCCTTGTCCAGCCAATGTACTTTCGCCCGCTGTCTCCAATACAAATTTCTCTTCTCCTCCAACCTTTCTAACTTAAATTTCAGCAGCTCCACTCGATTAGCTAGATTTCCCTCAATGGCCCCCGACGCTTACGAGCTCTCTTTATTCTCTCTCTAGGTCGCCCAGAAGATTTCTACTCCAATCTTGAAGATCAAGAGCTACACCTTGCAGGGCATCCCACCCAGCCTCGAAACGGAAAGGCGGGCTATCGCTTCTAGATGGGTCTCCCCCAAGTCAGTCTCCATAATCACCGGCCGATGATCCGAATGCTTTGGATCACCATTCGTGACCTTGAAAGTTGGGAACCAAGCCCTCCACTCAACATCCGCCACTGCTCGGTCCAATCTCTCACAGGACATAACGTTCATCATCATGCTTGTTGTTCCACCAAGTGAAAGGATCTCCAGAAAAAACTAGATCGGTCATGCCACAATCATCCAAAGCCTCGTTGAAAGCATCCATACATGTCTGCGATCTCGGCGGGCCCCCTTCCTTCTCACATCCCAACAAGATCTCATTGAAATCCCCCATACACAACCACGGGTGTCGCCCTCGCCGCGTTCAGCGTTCTCAACGCCTTCCACGACAGGGGCTTCTGATCCGTCCTCGGCTCCCCATAGAAGCCCGTGAATCTCCACACAAAACCATCCTCCTCTGTCACGTCCGCATCGATGTATAGTTTAGACATCCTACGAACATGCACGTTCACCCCCCCTCCGCCAGAAGACTGCCAAGCCCCCACTTGTCCCTTCACAGTCCTTTGCCATCATGTTTGTTAGCCCCAACTTGCACCGAAGACTGTCTCCAACGATGGAGACCTAAACACAACACGCATTGTATGATTTAGGTTATGCACAGTAGAAAAGGTCCGTACCTAAAATTTCGATTCTCCAACAGGCGACGCAAATCAGCCAGTGCTGTGATGCAAATCGCTTCCATCTCCAAGTTCCTAGCGCCGGTGGCCGCGAGATCCGGCGGCGAGAGGGCGCCCCCGCTCCCCGCCGGCGCCTCGTCCTCCTCCTTCGCCAGAACCCTGCGCCACAAGCGGCGCGCACCACCGCCGCGCAGCATCGCGCCGCCGCCTCCTCCGACCTGCTCGCGGGAACAAGGCCGCCGCCACGCATCAGCCAAGCTCGCTGCGCTCGCGCGCAACTCTCATCAGCACTTCACAGCAGCTCGCGGCCCGTGGACTCCGGCGCTCTCCTCCCGAGCGCTCTCTCTCTCTCGCCGCCGCCGCCGCCCGTCACAACGCCGGGCAGGAAGAAGGGCCGTGGCACCGTGGGGCCTCAGATCCGGCCGAGCCCGGGCGCAGGGTGGCCGCGGCGGCATCAGCCAGGCCCGGCAGCGGAGTGGAGCCGGCGGTGCTCTGCGGTCAACGGACGGAGGAGGCAAGAGAGAAGGGGCAGGGGAAGAAAGGAAGAGCAGAGCAGAGGGGGGAGAAGGGGGAGGAAGCATAGCACTACGACGCAGCGACCCCGGCGCGATGGCGGCTTCAGCGGCAGAGGGTGCGGCGCTCCGACGGCTTCAAGCTCCGGCAGTGGTCCGGCTTCTCCATCGCGTGCCGCCGCGGCCACCATCGGAGATTTGAGTAGCGAGGAGAGAGACAACGCTTTTTTGCGTTTCGCTTGGACTTGTAGGCAAAATGCGTCGCGTGGATGGGTCGTCCATTAGAGCCGTGATTTGATAAGCATATGCATTGTACAAGACTTATTTTTGGGTTTGGCTATCCCGTTGGAGTCCGTCTAAAGCCATCCATCTTGCGCTCGTCCATTTTGGTTTCGGACAAGAACAAGATACCGGGGTCCTCCTCCTTCCGAAGGCTCAGAAAGCCACGTACTGCCGCACCGTTCCCCAGCCCGCGGCAGTTCCACGCAATGATCTTCATTGGTCCTGCGGCAGTTTCAAGACTTCAGATTCCGAAGCAAACTTCTCTGATTCTTCTTTCCTCGCCTTCTTCGACACCAGATCAGTATCCACCACCATCAAGTCCTCCACACCCCTCTTCCTGCCTGCCTCCAACATAGGACTCCCGGGAGACGAAGAAGCGCAGACGCCCACAGTCACCAGACGGTGAGGACCAAGGCTAGCAGAACTTTGGCTGGGCTCCGAACAGCGGAGAATTGACCGTGGACGCGAGTGGAGGATGGGATTGTGGACTCAAACCCTGAGATCAGGACAAGATCAGGGCAGTAACGGAGAAGATCGGAGAAGAAGGATGTCGAAACCTAGAACCGCCTGGCAACCGGCTCGAGTCGCCTGGAGCACGGGCACCGAGACTAGCAACCGCGATAGTTATACCTTTTTCTGAAAGGAGATCACCTTATGATCGGGTATTTTAGGTTCAGGTACTTCTGAGTCTGGGTTCGGGGATCGGGTATCAGGTATTTTGCCGAGAGGAGCGCCATAGTTCGTACACCGGCGAAGTTACCAACGAGCCAACCATATTACAATAATGTCATACTGCTCCATGAAACATCAACCAGAACTCTCCGATCATCTCGATACAATTTACCTTCTTTTAATGAGGTCATCGACTGCATATCTCAAATTGAGTTGGAAAACAACGGCTTTGTGTTTCTACGATTGCATGACTAAAACAGCGGATTCTCTTGCGTTTATCCAGCATCTACATAGATAAGGTATACGAAAATATCAGGAATTTCAACCAAAATTTGAAGTATAATAGGCATAATCCTGACTACCCTAATCCTAGAGTCTTACCTAGTCTGCTGCTACAATATACATCAACATTACACAGTAAGATGCCAGTTATTACGCGATGGAAAAGATAGAATAGATATGATAAGAGAACAATATATCCCCACCAAACAATTTTCCCAGCCTGCCACCAAGAAAAAGAAAATGCCATTACACTAGGGAATTCCTTCTCACTTTCTGGTTTGCACTCAAAGTATGAAAAAACTTCTCCCATGAATGATGGTCTTCCAACGCTGCCAGAATGTAATTGGAGTTCAGTTCTCAAAGAGAACAAATAACTATTTGGGACTTTGGGAGCCACAGTGGCACGCCAATGACCTTTTTTCCCCATGATTCTGCAATGAAATCTTACTACCTTCGAAATGGAGGGTTGTATCACTGATCTGAATTCTGAACATGTTGCTTCTTTTAACATTTGATCATGTTCCCACTAACAAAATCTGCATTCAAACTTGCAGCACCTGGCAATGGATAATGTGACTCTTTAAGTTCCGTCCTGCAATGCTGGACCATAAGTTAGCCACAAACGACCTATGCTGGACCTTCCGAGCAACAGTTTCCCACATGCGTGCACTACCTGTCTCAACACTCATTGTTGGGTCTGAGACATCAACAAGAGTTATGCTCATGTTGTTCCTGATAACACAGAGTTTCCCATTTAGTGACACCAAAGCTGCAGCTTCAAAGGCACGTGAGCTGCCCAAATGGTGCTTGCTGTCCATGAATCTTGTCCATGTTCCTGTGTTCTCATCATAGACTCTAAGCTTGCAGCCATCGCGGCAGTCAGCTGAATAGAGCCGGCCATTGAAGGAAATACTTGGGTTCCGCCAACCTGTAACCATCTCATCATCAATCGCTGACCATGTATTGGATGATGGTAAGTAGACCTCACTAGTTACTTGGCGATGGGAATCTAGCCCCTTTAAGAACCACTTGCCATCATATACAACTCCAATGAAAGGCACCATCCCATTGTTCATTTCAGTAATGCAGGCCCATCTGTTCCTATTTGGATCATAAACTTCTGCAGACTGCAGTGTCCTCTGTATTCCTTCACACTCCCCACCAGCAACATAGAGACAATTGTTTATTACACAAGAACCAAAGAAGTGACGTTTCCTCATCATATCCGGAGCACGGTGCCATTTGTTTGCCCGAGCATTGTAGAATACAACACGCCTCATAGAACCCCGCAAAGGATCTTTCCCACCAAACAAGTACAGATAGCAACCACTCAGAACAGCACACCCAAAGCCCAATGCTTCTGAATACTCGTGTGGAACTGGTGGGAGTGACTTCCATAGCTGGTGTAGTGGATCAAAGGCATGCCAGGATATCTTCCCTTCACGGTCCCTTTTAAAGACATACACCCATTCTTCCGCCACTCCAATTTTCTTACGCAAGGAGTAAAAGTAATTCCCAGACAAAAGGCGGTTCCATCTTCTGCAAACCATCCTGAGATTGGGGTGTTCAACTCGAGGAACTCGTATAAGGCAGGCAATAGCAAGATCATCAGGAAGGCCTGGTAAAAGTGGTGCTTGCGTCCTGGACCTTTCCTTTCTTGAGCCCCTTGACTTGCGCTTGTTTTGTTTGACTTCAGGTTGCATGCACATCTTCGCGCCAGGAACAAACTTCCTAGCATCAACAACAGTTTTAAGGCCTGTATCTAATCTGCAGTAGCAGGAGACAGACTCCACCTGGCAGCCAATGATAAAAAGAATGTTTAGAGGTTGTATTGGCAGAAAAGAATGATATCATAAATAATGGTAAATAAATAAAACACCAAAATATTATTAGGAGCTTCAATTCTAGGCACAAAACAATGACATGAACAATAAAACCTAAATACCACAAATGAAGCATCAGGGATACATAGCAGCATGGATAACTTCGTTTCTTTACATCTAGAATTTCTTTTTGTTCAAATCTTTCAAATAAATGTTACCATCAATAATCAGCTCCCCAAGATTATTTGCAATTGTAGGATATTTCAATTGCAGCAAAAAATTCTGAACTGTGTTTCCTATAAATTACAGTTTCATATTTAATGTATCTATTTAGATTTGGGCATTGATGCATCAGTAAATCAAGTGAAATTTGGCACGTAAAATCATGAACAAGAGAACTATCATGTTTTCAAATTGAGTTGACACTAGTTCAACATTATGACTATATGAGGGTTAAAGGCATTACTTTGTAAAAAAATATGTCAGGATTTCATGAATCAGATCTCCCAAATCAAGAATGTTAAATTCATGGAACTAACTTCAGTAAGGAAAATATCAATACATGTAAGTTCATCAACATAGGACCTGAACCAATGTCCCCAACAGGGGCTAGCTCAGTTCTGGAAATCTGCACAACTGAAAGATTATGCAGTTGGTTTGAAAAACATGGGCCAATGTCCCAGGTAGACTGAACGAGTGTGGAAGCAGTTTAAAGACAGCCATCAACTGAACTAGTGTTGAACTTGTTCATGAAATGGTACAGGAATTCAGGAAAGGTTTGTTATCTCTGGTTTTATCAGTTAGACCAAAATCATTATAAAACTTGTGTAGCCTTCAAATTAACAAAACATAAGCAGATAATCTGTGGAATGTTCAGAAATTAATGAACATATCACAACACGTGAGCCGGATATATGCAAAATGAAATCTCAATTCATCAATTAGGAGAAGACAATGCACCACCTACACTGCTACAGCATAACGAAAGTTCATGCAATTTACGGTGGTACTTAAAGATTGAACAATCACAACTAGAGAAAACAAAACTTGAGCATGCGCAATATGCAAACCCATATGGTAGTCCTTTCGTACTTAACAGTAATCAGCACCATCCACAAATTAGAACTGAAGCTGCACTTGCTACAAGCAGTCAGGCAACACTATCATCGCCGGATTCCGCGGTATAAAACAAACAAAGGCTATGGTAGATAAGAGAGTTTCCCCGGTCCATTCCTACAACTACTAGCGATTCCCTCGTGGCCATGAAGCGCAAGAACACCACACAAAAAAACTCAGCGAACAACCCCAGCCCCAACCAAGTAGGCAAGCAGCCAGATCCAGGCCGTCAACCGCGACAGGATCGACCAAAACCCTCAATCCGTACAACGAAATCCTCATCCTCGACCCCCACAGGTCGAAGCTTCCAGCCGAAAGGCGGCACCTTCACCCCCAACACCCGGTCTAATAAATCCCGCCTAAAAGACGCGTCTTTAAGCGACGAACAAGAGGAAAGGGAAGGGAGGCGGAGAGGAGCGGAGCTCACCAGCGGGGCGCGGACGCGGACCCCTGCTCCGTGAGGCGGTGGCGGCCTGGACGCGGCGTCCATGGCCGGATCGGGCGGGGGTCTCTCGCCTCAGCAAAGGAGGGGCCAGCCGGTCGCCGGGAGAGGAGGAGCAGGGAAGGCAGGGGAGGAGGAGGGGCTGTTGGTTTTTTTGGACAAAAACCTCGGTCTCGGTGGGATCAGGGAAAAGAGGGTGGAAATGAGGGGGGTTTTGATCAAGTAATTGCGAGCAGTAGACAGCTTTGTGGACGCGCGTAGTCTGTCAGGTCTCACTACACCAGTCACCGGACACCGGTCACGGTCCATGTCAACCTTTTCTTCATCGATGGGTTTTGTGAGGGAGCTGGCTTTGACTTTTGCGTGTCTGACTCAAGCCGTGTTCGACACTTCGGCTGCCTTTCCATGTTTTATTTTATGCTGTACCAGTGCTCCTTCCGTAAAAAAAAAATCAAATTCTGGGAAGTCAGACAAATTTAAATTTAATCAAATTTATTAATAAACTACTAATGTTTATAATACCGAATAAGCATCATTTATTAGGTTAATTATAAAACATAATTTTATAATAAAACTATTTAGAACTTTTTTTTATAAACTTAGTCAAATTTTTTACTTATCATAAATCTTCTTTTGTGACTGAGAGTACTACTATATTATATAGGAATAGAAAAAAAAGATAATTGGTTTGATGTATTTGTCCTTGTTGAAACATGTATCCTTTAAGTTTTGAAACTTGTTTCGTTACAAAGGATTAAGAGCATGTTTAATTGTTGCCTTGATATGCTTGTTAACCAGGCAACAATGTCTGACCTTATGCACTTAAGACTGAAGGTTTAGGAGAGTTATTTAGGTCAGGTAATTTTTGTCCGATTAAGCATTCCCTAAATAGATTATGAGGATGATCATTGGCAAGATTGTCACGAACAAGCTTGAATAGGTAGCATTTAATTAAGGATTGAAAAGGAATGAACACAAGAAGAACCCATTGGAAAACAACGACCTAACGGGGATACTAGATGCAACCTCTGCGGTTTAGAGGAGACCGTGCAACATCCCTTTTTTATTGTCGCTTGGCTAGATCTATGTGGAATTCCTTGCTAATTGCTTTTAATCTTCAACCACCTAAGTGGACGGCTCATATGTTTGGTGCTTGGGTAAGGAGCTTTGCTCCAAGTTTGAGGGGTCTGATCATAGTGGTGCTAGTAGTAATTTGCTGAGTTTTATGGTTGAATAGAAATGATATAGTGTTCAACAAAAAATGTCTTATTCTTGCTTGCAGGTAATCTTCAGGAGAACTTACTGGATCAGGCATTGGTCACTGCTGTCTAAAGAGGAAGCGAGAAGAGCGTTGAAGGATGGGTGCAAACACTTGGAAATATTGATGTTACAAGCGTTTGGGAAACATGGTTGGCATCATCAGATCGTGAAGGATTGAGGGCTGTGTCTCTGTTTGGTTTCAGTTGATTCGGTTTAGTTTGGACCGGTCACGTTTGATAGTTTTGTTTAATCTTGTTTTCTGCTTAGTGGAACTTGGTCTAAAAAACAACTTTTCTGTATCGGACGTTTATACTCACGCATGGATAGGGAGACCAGAATATTTGTATTCCTTTATTAAAAAAAACAGGAGCTTCTCAGAAGAGCAACTTCTTAGACTACTTTTTAGGTACTAACTAATTGTTTGTCCAAGTGTGATGCCCTAAGAACGCAAGCTCCTGCACCAGCAGCTTCTTGAAAAGCTCTCCACCAGGCACCAGCCCTCCGAAAAAAAAAGGAGTTGCTAGAATGGAAATGGAAGAACAACCCAAGACTGAACAAACACTCGCTTGTTATCATACGTGAACCACTGCTACTTCAGCGGAACTGCTCCTGAGCTCGTGCAAAAACCACATCTACCAATTCTCTAGTTAAGGTTGAGTGTCCTTACAAATTAATACCTACTTGTTTAGCGTTTTTGTGTGTTGTGCTTTTACTTAGGTCAGTCTTTCATTATTATTTTCCTGAAATAAAACAAGTTTCTCGAAACTTGTTCGTGGTCCCTTTTAACTTATGGGGACAATTGATGTTTGAATCTTACATGACACGAAAGCTTTACATGACACGAAAGCAAAAACAAATGATTAGGAGTTCTTAGTTCCTAGCATGCATTGGCATGACTTTAGTCGGACACCTTATTATTAACAAAACGGTCATTCGAGCAATGATGCGTGTTGCATGGCTGCATCTTGCAACAGCAAAGGTGTTGTCTCTACAAGTTGCTGGTTCCTACAAAGTACAAACACTGCATTCGCATTGCGTGTAGCCTAAGAATCAGTAAGTTTATCTTTCCTAATCTAGCGGTGGCATGATATACTTTACAAATTATCAGCATAATATAGTTGCATGTTTAGAATTACAAAGCTCAGAAATTGGTTGTACGTTAGTTTAGTTTATGAAATGTTTGTTTAAGAACTAGTTAAAGTAACGAAGTTATTTGTACTCCTAGAAAGATGAACCGAACGGAAACTGAGTTAGTTATCGGTTTAAGTTTTCAGCCTAGAACCAGTACTTATATTTTCTTTTTTTTCAAAAAAAACTATTCCAGAATTTAACAACACTATTATTTCGGTGGTATATATAGTTAACAAGCCTGTCAATAGCATGGAGCCGATAATGATTTTATATCAATCATAAGATATGTCGGCTTGATCTCTTAGAGGTCTTGGAGGTGCTTACAGGGGGTTAGAGGTAGGGTTGCACATGTGCATCATATGAGTATCTATGTATATATGCTCGGATTTGAGAAAAAACATGAACACAACTTTGTTAGCTTCCTAGGAAAGCACCACGCTATTTAGAAATGAAAATACCATGGAATAACTTTAAAATAACGATGTTGTCCAATTTAGTTTAGAGTAAAATGCACGAGCGGTCTTTAAGCTTGTCACACGGTGTCGAATAGGCCATTGAACTCTCAGAATACATTTTCATGTAATTTAAATTTGTCTTTTGATGTCACCTAGGTCCCCGAACTCTCAAAATTAATTCATTTTTAGGTACCCAACTTGTCTTGAGGTGCCATCTAAGTCCATAACTATACAACAACAACAACAACAACAACAATAAAGTCTTTAAGTCCCAAACAAGTTTGTGTAGGCTAGAGTTGAAACCCAGCAGAAGCCATCAAGGTTCAGGCACGTGAATAGTTGTCTTCCAAGCACTCCTATCTAAGGCTAAGTCTTTTGGTATATTCCATCCTTTCAAGTCTCCTTTTATTGCCTCTACACAATTTAACTTCGGTCTTCCTCTGCCTCTCTTCACGTTACTATCCTAGCTTAGGATTTCACTACGCATCGGTGCCTCTGTAGGTCTCCGTTGGACATGTCCAAACCATCTCAACCGGTGTTGGACAAGCTTTTCTTTAATTGGTGCTATCCCTAATCTATCACGTATATCATCGTTCTGAACTCGATCCCATCTTGTATGACCGCAAATCCAACGCAACATATACATTTTCGCGACACTTATCTGTTGAATATGTCATCTTTTCGTAGGCCAACATTCTGCACCATACAACATAGCAGGTCTAATCGCCGTCCTATAAAACTTACCTTTTAGCTTCTGTGGTACCCTTTTGTCACATAGGACACCAGATGCTTGCCGCCACTTCATCCTCCCTGCTTTGATTCTATGGCTAACATCTTCATCAATATCCCCGTCTTTCTGTAGCATTGATCCTATATATCGAAAGGTATCCTTCCTAGGCACTACTTGACATTCCAAACTAATATCTTTCTCCTTCCGAGTAGTAGTGCCGAAGTCACATCTCATATACTCAGTTTTAGTTCTACTGGATCTAAAACCTTTGGACTCCAAAGTCTCCCGCTATAACTCCAGTTTCTGATTCACTCCTGTCCGGCTTTCATCAACTAGCACTACATCGTCCGCGAAAAGCATACATCAAGAGATTTCCCCTTGTATGTCCCTTGTGACCTCATCCATCACTAAGGCAAACAAATAAGGGCTCAAAGCTGAGCCTTTATGTAGTCCTATCCTAATGGGGAAGTCATTCGTGTCTCCATCACTTGTTCGAACTCTAGTCACAACATTGTTGTACATGTCCTTAATGAGCCCGACATACTTCGTTGGGACTTTATGTTTGTTCAAAGCCCACCACATAACATTCCTTAGTATTTTATCATAAGCCTTCTCCAAGTCAATAAAAACCATGTGTAGGTCCTTCTTCTTCTCCCTATACCGCTCCATAACTTGTCTTATTAAGAAAATGGCTTCCATGGTTGACCTTCCGGGCATGAAACCAAATTGGTTCATAGAGGCCCGCGTTATTGCTCTCAAGCGATGCTCGATACAACAATGTGTAAGTCCATAACTATCAAAATTTTATTTTTGGGTCCTCAAACTACTATGTCATCTAGGTCCAAACGAGCTCCAGCTAGCTGTGGTAGAACCGCCTAATCTAATACCGCCCAGAAGTACTTGTCTTTCATTATACACTAAGTATTCAAGGGAGGACATCAAATTACGCAGTTTCGTCGGGCACACCCCAAGGGAGAACCCGAAAATCCACGTTTTTCCATTAGGACCACAAATAAGAGAATAAAACTTACATCATTATTAATCATTTATTACATCACTTTCCATGTAACATCAGAGTATAATATTTATAATTTATAATAACGGAATATGAACATATTATCAGAGTTATGAACAATTTAATTTAACAGCGGAATATAAATATGTGATCAGAATTACAGCGGAAATTAATATCTATTCATGACATGATGAAATATTGATATATAAACTATGACAACAGATTATAAAACTTCTATTTATAAAAATATTTAGTGAGAGTTATAAGTAAAAACAATGATCGCAGCGTCAAGGAATCCTCTCTGAGCCCATTAGGAGGAATCCACACACAAGGGTCAGCTCTAGCATCCACCTGTCACCTGCAGCAGGGGGAAATAAAACCATAAGTACTCAATTGTACTCAGCAAGACTTACCCGACAGGAGGAAAGAAAAGACTCCAAGAATATGCAGGGCTATC